CAGCAGGCCGGGCATGCGAGCTGCGCCCCGCGGCATGGCAGCCTCAGGTGCGTAGGCAGGCGCCCGGCCACTCTGGGAGCCCCCCGCCGGCGCGCCCCTTCCTCTCTCCCGCGCTCGCCGGCGCCCCGCACTTCTCGGAGCGCCGTCCCGCTCCCACTCTGTCCGGCCTCTTCGGTGCGGGAATCTGTGTTCTTTCTGTTCTTTTCCCCAGTTCTCTGTCGCATACTTCGCACCCCGACTTTCCCACTTTCCCCTTCCCAGCCAGCTGCGCGATTCCCCGCAGGTCCTGCCTGACCCTCTTCTGTCCCCGTCTTCTGAGTCCTTAAACCCTCCGTCACTAGCCCTCGGAGCTTCGGACTGTGGTTCCCCCTGTTCTTCCAACTCCGCGAACCTGGAGTCCCCAGTTGAACGCAGGCAGAAAGGCAACTTGTCTGCGCCGGCGAAACGCTCCTAGCACCGATAGGGGGCGCTCAGACAGTCCTAAGCTGGCACGGCGAGATTTGACGTGGCCCTTGGGCCACCTTCCTGAGCTGATTTCCTCTACTCATCCTCGGCTTTGTGCTTCCTCTGGAATTTCGATAGGAATCTAGGAATACCATTCCTTTAGCTTTAACTTTTCCTATGCCCTTTGCAGAACTTTGGAGCTTGGGGGAGAGGTGGAGGCCATTGGGTATCTATCCATCCATTCATCAGGAGGCTGATTAATCTTTGGGTTTCCTTTTTGGTTCATGGGGTGTGTACTTTGGCAAGTCACTCACTGACTGAGATTTAGGATGAACCATATAATAATGACGATAGTAGAGACAGCTAATGAGCACTTACTACGCACGTTGAGGGGGAACGTGCACCTAAATATGTTCTCAGTGTTGCCCAGGACAGCCTGGTCTCTGCTCTTGAGGAGTTTATCTTCTTGGGAAGAAAAGTGTCAGTAAAGAAAGAATTACTAGATGAGAATATTACAGTTGCCATGTTTGCAAATGTGTTTACTTGTGTTTTCCCTGCCCATCTTATGATGTTTTAGTAGCGATAACATGTGAAAACAGGATGTAAAAGCCCCTTGAAAAATAAAATCTAGTTGGCCAGGAGAAAGTACTGTTCTTGGAGGATGTGGACAGATGCTAGACCCCCTGAGGTCCAGCATTCTAATGGCATTTTGGAAGCAGGGGTAGAAAAGGCCAATGGTGACAGTTCTTTTAGATTTGTTGATATGGGCTTCCTATTTAAGGGGAGTGGAAAGGTAGCTAGCCTTAGCCTTCTGGCTCCACAGCAGGGCTCTGAAGGTTAGAGGGAGCTGTATTGTGAAAAGAAACTCCTGGTAATAGTAGGTTCATAGTCCACACATTCCATTTGAAACCTGAAGCAGAGTTATCCAGAGGGAATTCATTCATACAACAAATACTTTTTGCATGCCCGCTGTTTGTAGACACTGTTCTAGGTGTCAGGTATATATTCAGTAAACGAAACTGACATAAACGATGTCCCCATGCAGTTTATGGAGTAGTGGGGGAAAGCAAGTGATGTATTTAATAAGGAAAATACTTGATATGAGAAGTGCATGGAAAAACAATAGAGAGGGGAAAGGGGGGTTAGAGTTATAATTTTAAATGAACAGCCAAATTAGGCCTCATGGAGAAAGGGACATTTGAGCAAAGACCTGAAGTGTGTGTGTCTGGGGACATTTGGGGGAAGAGTGCTCCAGGTAGAAAACAGTAAATGGGTGTATGTGGTACATTTAAGGAGCAGATGGTCAGAGTAGATGGGTGATTGGGGAGAAGTAGGAGATGGGGTGAGTGAAGTTCCCATCCCCTTCTGTGGCTGGCAGCAGGCCCTGGGCTGCTAGGCCTGGGGAACAGAAATGGGGTGGGGTGGGGCAGGGCGGGGGTTGGGCAAAAGAGGCCCAGGAAGCTTTCCTCTGGTGTCCTGTGTGCACCATTCAGGTGAGTGTGGCTGAGGGGCTAGCGAGTGTGCTCCCATTCAGACGGGAGCCCAAACCCAGTGGCCAGACTGGGGGCTGATGGCCCCTGCAGTGGCTTCCCAAGGCGTCTGTAATGGTTAGAAGTGTCAGCATCCTCTGCGGTGAGACACCACTCCAGGTGCTGCAAATAGAAGTTGGGTCTCTAGGCCCCTGGGGCTGCCTGAGGTCTGGAGATACAGTGACCCATGGTGGCAGGTCCCAGTGGTGAGAGTATCTCTTGCCAAGATGCTGTAGACTCTGGAGTCATCCAGGCCACCTCCATGTGGTCTTCTTCCTCTCCCCTCCTTCCTCTCCCCTCCTTCTTCTCCTTCCTCTCCCTTTTTTCCTCTCCTTCTCCTTCCTCTCCCCTCCTTCCTCTCCCCCTCCTTCTTTTATAGCTTTATTGAGATATAATTCACATATAATACAATCACCATTTGAAGTGTACAGTTCAGTGGTTTTTAGTATCTTCACACATATGTACAACCATCACCACAGTCAATTTCATCACCTCAAAAAGAAACTTCCTCTGTTTCAGCTCTCACCCCCTTATTCCCTCCTCTCCACCCCTAAGTTCTACTTTCTGTCTCCGCAGATTTCCCTACTCTGGACATATAAATGGGCTCATGTAGTATGTAGTCTTTTGTGGCTGGCTTCTTTCATGTAGCAGAGCAATTCAAGGTTCACCCAGTACCAGGCATCATCAGTACCTCGTTTCTTTATGGCTGAACTATATAGTCTCCTTAAATTCCCTTCTACTGAAGGGTAATCATTAGTCTTTTGTTTTTGAAAGGCATATTTTTTTTGTTGAAATCAAGAAAAATCATGGCTCCCAGTCCTTGAAAGAACTTGAGAAGCAAAATAAAATGGAGTGGAATCCTCCTATCCTGGAATATTCTCTAGGCCTTTGATAGCATCTCTTGTATTTGCACATGAGACAGAGGAGAGGGAGGCCATAAGTAGCTTTGTCAAGTGGCCAAGTATGGTTGGTAAAGATGGTTGATGAAGACTTAGAATTGTTTTCTCTATGTGTCAGCCTCACACCTTTGAAGAAAGCTCCCATACCTCTTCCTGCCCCCGCTCTCCAAGGCTTCTCTCATCTCCAGATCCTTCTACCATCCTTGTACTTACAGGAAAATAAGGCTTGAAGGGACCTTTAATTTTTCATGATTTTAACTTCCATCTGATCCTTGAGGTCCTCGGTACTCCTAACAAGTCTCTAAACTTGAAATCTTCAGAGTCTGGAAACTCCTCACATGAACTGTTTCCAGATCTCTCCCCATCCTGATCACCTTCCCTGTCACAGCCCTTTTCAGTATGGTGCAGATTCAGACATGGGGCTCGAGGACAGCTGAGTCGTACAGATTAAAGAAATAGTCTGGGCTGGGTAGTTTGAGAAGCACTTCCTCTTTGTTTCTTCTCAGGTGGATTCTGAATCTTTCAAAGGAACCTCTCTTTCAGTCACCATGTTTCTTACCATCACTGTCACTCCCTGCTTTACTGTTACCCCTTCCTTTTTCCTTCTATAGCCAACCCGTTCTTTCAGCTCTAGAGAGACCCTTCCTCTTTTCGGTCTAGCATTTATGAACTCCATGTTGGTTCATACATTTCATTTCTTTTAATAGAAACCAACCAAAAATGAAAGAATTGATTGGGCACATGACTTACGGTTCAAGAAAGGGAATTATTCTTGAAGAAAGAGGTGCTCCCTATAGGAGAGAGTTGCTAATGAAGCATTTGTCCTTTGTCATTGCTTAGCATGTTATGGAGGGACTTAAACTTTCACTTTGGACTTCTTTTTTTTCACAACTTCCCCAGCTTTCAGTTTCAGCAGCAGAGCAAAATCCAGAAGGATGATAGATTTCGTTGTCCTCATTTACACTGAGACAAAATTTGCTTAGATTTAGTATATTGGTCTGAAGTCACACTACAAGGTGGTGACCAAAGAGGTTGTGATATTAACTGGTCTGAGGCAGTAACCACTTCCTTCTCAAGTACTTTTGCTCAAAAGGGGGGGTCAAATTTAACACTAGCACCCCTGGAATGAGATGTTTTAAATATTTTTTCCATATAGAAGCAGCTAATCCCATAAGTGCTTTTTATTTCAATTGTATATTTAAACTTTTATTTTAGACATTTTAGATTTATAGAAAAACAGTGAAGACAGAGAGTTGCCAGGTACTCCACACTCAGTTCCCACTGTTGTTAACGTTGAAACTTTCCTTGATGACTAGAGGTCCTTAATGATCAACAGGTTCTGTGATGTCTGTTAACAGGGAAGCAGGGAGTGGTGAGGCAGGACCCAGGGGGAACTAAGTCCTTACTCCCTCAGTGGCCTAGAACTGGTCAATCTTAAAAATGCTGTTTTGCTTTTGGGTCAGTGTCTCCTCATAAAAGTGGCATAAATGGCTCATCGCCACATAGGGCAGTGTATTCACTGCTTTCCTGCTAAGTCAATCAGTGCTCCAAGAGCTACACTGCCTTTTTTTGAAAAAATTGATTTGAGAGAGAGAGAAACATCGATTTGTTGTTCTACTTATTTATGCATTCATTGGTTGTTTCTTGTATGTGCTCTGACTGGGGATCGAACTCGCAACCTTGGCGTATCCGGATGATGCTTTAGGCCCACACTGTCTTCTAAAGGGTACTTCTTACACTCTAGGAAATCTCTTCGTCCCTCTTCTTCACTTCCTTGCTATCACTTGTCAACTCATCGAGGACATTGCCAGTGGCTTCTTCATCCCTCCTTAACCCTTTTAGTCCTGGCTCTGTGACTAATTACTGAATGTGAATTTAAGCAATTCCCTTCATCTTCACAACTGAAGTTTATTATTTTTTTAATCCATAAATGAGACGTTTTGGGCAAGTGATCCCTCTAAGCCCCCCCCCCCCCTTTT